TCTTTCTTTCTTTCTTTCTTTCTTTCTTTCTTTCTTCTTTCTTTCTTTCTTTCTTTCTTTCTTTCTTCTTTCTTTCTTCTTTCTTTCTTTCTTTCTTTCTTCTTTTTTCTTCTTTCTTTCTTTCTTTCTTTCTTTCTTTCTTTCTTTCTTTCTTTCTTTCTTTCTTTCTCTATCTATCTATCTATCTATCTATCTATCTATCTATCTATCTATCTATCTATCTATCCAAATCTGTCTCTATCCATCTCTCTCCCTATATTTATCATCCATCTATCTGTCCATCTGTCTACGTTTATCCATCCATTTATCCATCCCTCTGTGTGTCTGTCTATCTATCTGTCTCTGGTTAAAAGGATCTAGGAGAGAAGGGGCCAGAGCCGTACACACTTCTGCCCCCTCCCCCCTCTCTGTTGATCACCTTGTGGTAACTTTTCCCTGCCTACAACGGCCTTCCCTTGACATCTTTGTGGGGGGGGGGGTGAGGAAGGAAGAAGCCCTATTTGGGATGGAAATGGGCCCCAAGGTGATGGGATTGCGCCAGCCTCCGGGTTCATTTCCTTTCTCCCCTCCTCTCCCTGAAGTCGGACCTGCCGGAAGAGCTCATCTTCGACATGGAGAACGTCCAGAAGCTCTTTGCATCTAGCAAGGAGGAGCAGAGCATGGAGACGGTGCTGCAGGTATGACCGTTGGGGGGGGGGGGGGGGCAAAAAAGGCTGTAAAACGAGGCAAAGCTCCGTTATCTACTGTCTCACGTAGGAATGGAAATTTGGGGGTCAGTTGTGGCTATAAGTCATGGATCCTTCTTCTTTCCTTCGTTTTACTTTGTCCTGTTCTCAGCACGAAACTCTTGTTGCTTCTGGGTTTTTCATCCCCCAAATTGTGGGAAAGCGGATTTCAGATGTTCAGCTACTGTGCTACCAAAATACTCAGCCCATTTAGGAAATAACCCCTCCAGGTTTTGGTGTATATTTCGCCGCCCCCTTCTCCGTTCTTTGGCCTGACTCGGTATCTAGGGAGATTCTCCATCATCCAGGTCATGGCTGTCCCAAAGTGATTTTTTTCCAAAAGGCACTGGACTGTCTTGGTTTATTGTTTCAAAACATTTCCCTTCTCATTCAAGAAGCTTCTTCAGTTCTAACGGAATAACACGAGTTGGAAGGGACCTTGGGGGTCTTCTAGTCCAACCCCCTGCTCAGGCAGGAAGCCCTAGAACATTTCAGACAAATGGCTGTCCAGTGTCTTCTTTAAAAACCCCAGTGATGGAGCAGCCACAACTTCTGGTGGCAAGCAGTTCCACTGGTTAATTGTTATCACTGTTGGAAAATTTCTCCTTAGTTCTAAGTTGCTTCTCTCCTTCATTAGTGTCCATCCTTTGCTTCTCGTCCTGCTTTCAGGGGCTTTGAAGAATAAGTGGACCCCTTCCTCTTCTTTGGGGCAGCCCCTCAAATATTGGAACACTGCTATCATGTCCCCCCTTAATCCTTTTTTTCATTAAACTAGACATAGAGTGGAACCTCGGGTCGCAAACGCTTCTGTTCGTGACCAAATCAGGTGGCAAACAAATAATCCACCCGATTTTTGAATCAGGTCACAATTCAAAAATAGGGTGGTGAACAAAATTGCTGGGGATGTCAGGGCTGGCTGTCAGGGCTCCAACAAATCCACCCCCATTCAATCATAAGTCTCTAGCTGCATGTCTCAGAATAATAAAAAAAGATTTATTGGGAGTGACCATGTTGGCGTTAGCTGGGTGCAGCCGACACTAAAATACATCATTCATTTCCCCCTTCACCCTGGTCTTTCCCCCCACCCCCTGGATGTATATTCTCCCATGGGACACCTCCATAGCCAAGAGTCACCAATCAGGCTCTCCAGCAATAATCTTGCGTGCCAACAGCTTCGGCTGCCAGGGTGATTATCTGAGGCATTTAAGGAATGCACTGCTTTCCCCCCACTCCCTTTCTGCTGGCAACTAAAAAGACCAAAGGAGTATTTTTTTTTTTTAGTTGACAGTGGAAAGATTCCCTTTCTGTGCCAATTTTCCCTTCGGCGCCATTTGGTGGGGGTCTTGTTGTCCACACACGCGCAGACGGTCATGCTTCCGGTCATGACCAAATCGGGTTGCGGCCGAAATCCTGGAATAGATTACAGTCGCGACCCAAGGCTCCACTGTAGCTAATTTCTGCAACTGTTCTAGATTCTGTCTGACTCCCCCCCCTCTCTACTGACAACTCTCTGCTCCCCGTTGCAGGATTACGAAGGCCTCGACTTAGAGATGCTGGCTCCTTACATCTCGATGGACGACGATTTTCAGCTCAGCAGCACCGACCACCCGCCCTGGCTGACCGAGAAACGAGGCGATGCGGGGGCAGGACCCCGGTCCGCCTCGCCCCCTCCGAGACCTCGCTCTCGCAGTTTCCATGGCGTGTCCCCACGCCCGCTGGAACCGGCTCCTCTTCCCCGCTGGGGCAGCGACAGCAGTTTGAGCCAAGGCCGCCCCGTCGAGACCCCTCTGGCCAACTCGCCCTGCGGAGAAGGCCAGATGGTGGAGATGGTGGCATCGGTCAAGATCCAGTCTGTGCAGGACGGGGCCGGTCTGAATGGCCAGAGGTCTCCCTTGGGCGGGAGGAAGAGGTCAGTCGCTGACTTGAACTCAAATCAGAATTTGGAGGGCGATAACACAAAAGAGGGAGGCAGCGGCTCAGTGGCTAAGACGCTGAGCTTGTCGATCGGAAAGGTTGGCAGTTCGGCGGTTCGAATCCCGGATCACGGAGTGAGCTCCTGTTACTTGTTCCAGCTTCTGCCAACCGAGCAGTTCGAAAACACGTAAAAATGCAAGTAGGAAAATAGGGGCCACCTTTGGTGGGAAGGGAACAGCGTTCCATGCGCCTTCGAAGGCGTTTAGTCATGCCGGCCACATGACCCCAGAGAGACGTCTTCGGACATCGCTGGCTCTCCAGCTTTGTAACGGAGATGAGCACCAGCGCCCCCTAGAGTTGGAAACGAGTAACACGTATGTGCAAGGAGGGGAATTTTTACTGTTACCTTAACACAAAAATAGAGACGGTGAAGCTTTGTCTGGCCCAGCTCATCCCCTTTACCTGCTAAAATTGGAAGTTTAAAATTAAAATCATTTTGAGGAACGAGGGGGCGATATTGCGGCCGTAATTCTTCAATCCGCTCGTCATTGAAACACAGGGTTTCTCAGCCTCGGCCACTTTTTAAGATGGGTGGACTTCAACTCCCAGAATTCCCCACCGGCTGGCTGGGGAATTCTGGGAGTTGAAGTTCCCCACCACCTTAAGGTCGCCGAGGTTGAGAAACATCGATCTAAAACGTGTGCCCTGAGCCGTTTTGTTTTCAGAAAAGCCCATCTCTGGGCCGTGTGGCACAACAGCCCTCCCCACCTCAGTTTGAACCCGTGTTGGGCTAAAGTTTCTCCCCCGTTCCCCCAACAGGACTCGGGAGATTAGCCTGGACGAAGAGAAGGACCTCTTCCTGGAGACCAGCCCCCCCAAGCGTGCCCATAACCACGAGGCTGAAAGTTTCCTGATGCCCTCGCTTAGCCTGGTGAGTTCCGAAGGGCCCCACCCGTTGGGAAGGAGATTGCCTGGCATGAAGCTGGCACATCCACCCACCCAAAACTCCTTTGCGAGAGACAACCTTCTGTTCCGCCAGGGCTTTCTGCTCAGTGTGGAAGAGTGTCTGGATGCCCGGTCCGAGCGGGCCTCTGTGGCCCTGGGCAAGAAGCTGCTGGCCCTGGAGGAGCCCATGGGTGAGTGCCCCTGGGGTCTGGAATTGAGCGGCTGGGTGAACAAGGCTTGGCGGGGTCAGCACGGAGCCCCTGCCCTGCCCCTTTGACCTGGCGTTGCTGAATGGACATTTCTCGTGGGTTGGGCGGCCCCCGATGGCAGCTGCTTGTGGGGGTAAAAAGTTTAAAGATGATCCTTGCCTCTCCCACGCCCCCGTTTGCCTCCTGAGAGTCCAATAGGGGCCTCCGTGGTCTCTTGAGATGGGTTGTTTTGTTGTAGATGTTTCATGACCCGACTAGGTGGCAGCTTCAGTGCTAGAAGGGGGTGGGGTTTGTGGAGTGGAAGAGGAGGAGGAGGAGGAGAATGCAAAGAGGAGGGGAAGGAGAAAGAGGAGGGGGACTCTGGGGTCCTTGGAGCTCTCCCAACTTGGTGGTTTCCCCACTTCCGTTTACCATTGATGATGGGATACCGGGAAGGGGCTCAGTGGTGGTTGGCCAGGGCATCCTTGTGAACCCTGGGAGATGTAGTCCTGCTGGCGCAAGCAACCAGATCCACTCACAAAAGGCCCAGGTTATCGCGCTCTACCCATATTGCAAGAATCTCCCTGGACTGCTTGCCTTCCCTTGGGAACAACCAGAGAAGCTCCCATCAAATTTAGGTGGCGTCAGGCTCTATGCCTCTTGCAGCCGCGCAAGGATTCAAGGCTAGTTCCCCGCTTGACGCTTCCTCCTCTCCCGACATCTTACCGCGGCCAGATTGGAAGGGAAGCCTGAAAAGAAGGTCCCAGCTCCTGATGACCCCCCCCCCTCTCTCTCTCTCTCGCCCTCCTGGCTCTCTGACCTCAGGCCTTTTAGGAGACATGCTGCCCTTCGTGGTGGACGGACCAGCGCTCTCCCAGCTGGCCCTGTACGATGGCGAGGAGGAGGTCTCCGGGCGTGGTGGAGAGCACTTCCAGCTGGGGGAGGAACTCCTAGTGGAGCTGGACCAGGCCACCTGAAGTGGCGCCCTTGACCGCCCCTGCCCCCCCACCGCACCTTCATCCCACACTCCTGCTCTGCAGATGGGACACCCGGAACCAAATCCAACCAAATGCCCTCAGGGAGGGGTCCCTCCCGGCCCCTCCCCCGCCCGTCCACCCTCCTCCACTGGCGTTCTTAGGACTCTTCCTACCTCAGTCCCGTCCCCTCCCCCAGGCAGCCTCTCCCCTCTGGAGACGGTGGGGGAGGAAGGCCTCTGCCACCCCTTTTGGTGCTGATCCGCCTGAATGTTCTTGAACCCAAGAGGAAGGGGGCCAGGAGTGGGATCGATTCCCGGAGGGAAGAGAAAGCACCACAGAGGGATCCACCCCCCCCCCCACGGACGAGAAAGAGCGGTGCAGAGCCCCTGGGGCTCTACCTTCTCCTCTGTCCTCTGCTCGCTAGGACAGGTCCTTCAGCATGCGCCCAGGTTGTAAGACCAGCCATTCCTGGGACAAAGGAGTTTACCCCTTCGAGGGAGGTGAAAAGTGGGGAGAACCTGCTCCGAGAACGGGGTGAACATCCATCTGCGTTAGCCTCTCGGGGGGGGGGGGAAATGCCTCGCCACGACTTCCCCAACATACTTACGGTGCCTCCCATCGACCTCAAAGCAAGGTCTCACCTTTTGAAAAGGAAAAGCAGGGAGGTCCTCAGAGTGTCTGCTCCCGAGAGGACATTTTTGGCCAGGTGAGAAACACCTGTCCTGGACTCTTAGAGTGATCTTTCCCCCTTAAAGATGGCCAACTGATGGAATAATCAGTCCCCAGAACAGCTGGTGCTTCGGCCCTATCCGGGCCTACTTAAAAGATCTTTTTCTGTTTACAAAACGTTCTCAGTTCTGCACACGTTCGGTGCAGAGAAAAATCAGATGCCATGTAGAAAACAAGGCAAGCTGGAAATAAAAGCGTCAGAACAAAAACAACAACAACCAAACACCTATTTTTTTAAAAAAGCGCATGCCAGCTTCCCTTATCAAGCAGTCCCCAGGTGTGTTTTGAAGGCAGGTAGCAGATCTGTGACTCGGCCAGCTGTCATGGCAAGCCAAAGCACATCTGGAAACAGCTGGATTGGGGAAGACTGGCTAGCTTGAAAATTTTGACGCCTGGGAGGGGGGGTGGGGAAACATCCAAAAATAATTTTAAAAAAACAACACCCAACGCCCCATGCAACATTTTGAACTCTGCCAGTCGTCAAAACTTTCCAAGAAAAATAGAGGGGAAAAAAATTGCAAAATCCCAAATTCTAAAAAAAGGATTGTCAAATCCGAAATCCGAAGAGAAATTTTCAGGAGCCTTAAAAAGTACGGCCTAAAAAAAAAAGAAGACAATTTCCACGACAAGTTTTTTTGTAGTGAAGAAGAGAACGGCCGTCCTCTGTTTTTAAACTTCGAGTTGGACGGCCTGTTTGCAAACATCTTCGATAACGGGGGGGGGGGGGGAACGCTTTCCGTTAAGCGAGTTTGAACCGGTGCTATGAAAATGTTATCCGTTGTTAGAAATGACATTGTTGTCGATATTTCAATCACGATATATATATTTTTTTTTCTATTTTTAACGAAAGGGGAAATCGAAATTTCCAAAAAGGTGCTCTCTTGTGTTTTTAACACCTCGATCCCCGTCACGCTTACTTGGAAGTAAGTTGCGCTAAAATCAATGCAGCTCAGTTCAAAGTAATGATGTAGAGCTGGTTTTTCAAACTTGGCTTCTTTAAGATAGGTGGACTCCAACTCCCAGGATTCCCCAGCCAGCTGGGGAATCCTGGGAGTTGAAGTCCACACATCTCAAAAGTTTGAAAAACCGCTGTGTGGGAATGACACCCAACTTTTTTAAAGCCCGATTTTATGAATGTTTTACTCAGAAGCTAATCTCATGATGCTCAGTGGATTTACTTTACTTTCAACTCAAATCGATTGCAATCTGACCGGCAGCATGGAAAAGTAACTCTGATGCGGGGGGGAAAAAAGCTTTCCAATGATATCCCCCAAATTCCATGATTAGAAACTGACAGTGGTGCGCTGCTAACGGTTCAGACCGGTTCTAGAGAACCGGTTGTTCCGGTGAGCAGTTGGCCCTGCCCTGCCCTATGTTTCCCTGTTTTTTTTTTAGCTTGGCTGATTCGCGCGGCACAACGGATTGCCGCGCCTCAGCTATTTTACTCTCCGAAGCCCGAACCGGTTGTTCAACCGATTGGAGCCCTCCGCTGGAAAGCCACCAAACTCTTTGCATTCACGTAACTCCCCAACGGGCTTAAAAAAAAAAACAAGACGCTTTTCCATTCTGCAAGTTCCATGTCTTCTGGACAAGCAGACATCATCAAAACGTTGATTCGCCTCTCCTTTGGTCCTGTCTTTGGGATCGAGAAGGCCCACCCCTCCCCAAGCGTTAATACTTATGTAAAGGGGTTGCACTTAATTAAATAATCTTGAACGGTGGCCCAGGAAGGAGAATGTGGGCCAGTGTTTAAGTCCCGTTGTAACATTATCCCAGCGAGTAAAGCTTGATTTAGACTTCCAACTGCCCGCAGGCATCGACACATATCTATACGCCGCAGACGGCTTGAGGTCTTCTAGTCCAACCCCCTCCTCAGGCAGGAAATGCAGTATCATTTCAGACAAATGGTTGTCCAATCTCTTCCAGTGTTGGAGAATTTACAAGTTGTTCCACTGATTAATTGTTCTCACTGTCAGGAAATTCCTCCTGAGTTCTAGGTTGCTTCTCTCCTTAGATGGATTGATTTCCATCCAGTGCTTCTTTTTGGGTCCTTTGGAGAATAGATTGAAACCCCCTCCCCTTCTTGGAGGCAGCCCCTCAAATACTGGAATACTGCTTTCATGTCACCCCTGGTCCTTCTTTTCATCAAACTAGACATACCCAATTGCAGCAACCATTCCTTATATGTCTTAGCCTCCAGTTCCCCCTACCAATTAATTAATCAGAATCCCACGAAGCCAATTCTGAAGTCCACATTCCTGAAGGCAGGATCAGACACCGGAAAGGCCAACGACGCGGCACACAAATCCCAACTCTGCATCGCGCAGAGATGCACACGTTTCAGGCTGATCGTTGGACACCCGTGTTGTCATGTGCTTTGTTCCTCGAGCACCGCATAGCCACAACATCAACATTCGCAGACTTATAAAGGCCACGGCTACGCGACCATCTCCGAACAACAGGCAGGGCACGTTCCCTGGCGTGCAGCGAGGCCGGAGTCTAAATCAAGCTTAAACACTTGCCCGAATATCACATCGGACGCTGACAGTAATTCTCCTCTCCGCACGGCCCTTACGATCCCCGCAACCCTTCCCTACAAATACACGCAGGGACGTTTTTTGTCAATCAAGGCCTTTAGCGATGGGTTGGGAGGGAGGTCCCCAAAACGCCCTCTTTAGGGAAAAAAAAAAAAGAAGAAGAAGAACAAGTCTGCTTGTTTTTGTTTTTCATTTTTCTAGAGATCTAAATAGATAGATATAAATCCCTCAGTTGCTTAGCTCACGGCCTTGCTACTTTTAACAGCAAACTTTGACCAGCGTTTTTTTTTATTTTTGCATGTTAAAAGGTTGGATTTCGCACCCGGTCCCAAACCAGGCTTAAGTCTGCACAATTCACTGCTTTTCCCTCCCGCTGTGCAAATCCTTTGGATTTAAAAAAAAAGAAAAAAGGAAAAAAGGAAAAACGGAGTGACAGGAGACAACGTAAGCTAAAACCAGTGTTTTCTCACACCTCCCTTAGGTGTGTGTATGTGTGTGTGGGTGTGTGTGTGTGTGTGGGTCTGTCCCGTTGGTGCTTGTGTCCGAGAAAGGTTGTCATTTAGCTTGACGGGGAACCCAGGGACCGACCACTTTTCCCGTAGCAGAAGTGGCCCAGTTTCCCAGCTAGGTAACAAATAGCTCCAGAAAAATCTCTTATTCTGGAAGCTCCGTATTTGTAGGACTTTTTAGCCAAGTTCTCTCATCCCTCTTGGTGCTTTCTTCTCCTCTGCCCCCTCCCCACACACGTGGGGACACTCAGTAGGGGGGGAGCACCCATCCACAGGTGTTAACAGGCCCACCCAGGACAGGCAAGTCCTGGCCCTCGGTCGAGGCACGATCGCCTCTGTTTTCCACAGTGGGGGTCTCCCACTCCCATCCAGCTGGGGAATGACCGTTTTGCAAAAGTTTCGGGGTCTGGCCTCTCGTGCAAGGCGGCAACGGGACGGGCGAACTCTCTTCCGGAGGTTCCCCTCCCTCCCGTTCTCTTTGCCGATCAGCTGCGTAGAAAACCGCAGTCTTAAAGAGGGGCCGGTTCTGCCCTGGACACCACCTTTGCCTCGGTCATGGTTCACCCGTGCCTTCACATCAACAACTTCACCAGCTGCAGCCGCAAAACACAGCCCTGCCACGAATCCGGCCCCTTCCCAATCGCTTTCCCGGTTGAGGAGGGAAAGGTGGCCGTGGTCAGTGGCACATAGCGGAATGGGAGAACGTGGCTAATTCCCAGACCGTCTTGCACAAGGTAGGTTCCTCCTTGGTGCCATGGAGCACGGGACCATCCCTTCCTGACGTTGTCGTTAACGTTGCAAGTTTCGTGGTTCGGAGCGCTAGAAGATCGCCGAAGGGAGCCGTGAGGACAACCCGCTCCGCTTGGACCTACCAACCTGGACTGTTTCCCTTTTCGACGCGAGCCAAGCTCTCACGCACACCTACGTGTACACCCAAAATACAAGCGCACACACCAATGCAGTACACCAAGCACGCGCAATCTCACAAATCGATGGGCCGCAACTGGCTCAGGCAGCTGTATTTTTTTTTTTTCAAAAGCCGCACTTGACAGACACGCACAGAACAATAGAATTTCAAAGCCAGGTGAAGAACGCAGGACAAGATGTCTCTCTTTCTCTCTTTCTCTCTCTTCTTCTCGTTTTTGTTGAGTTTGTTAGGATTCTAATTTTAAATCCCCAGCCACAGAGCAAAGGGGCATCTTTGCCTCCACTGACCGTCCGCCGTTCCATTTTGCTTTCTTTGTATCGTGTAACCTTTCGAACCCATCATCTTCTTCTTTTCTTGGGGATCCTGGTGGGAAAAAGAAATGATGGTTCTCCCCAATTATTGTTGACGTTTTGCTGTTATCATAGGAATTGTAGCTTTTTAACCCAATCGTCTGCCCCAAAGCTGGATGCTGCTGCTGCCTGCACGCTTCTCTGAATGTCCAGCAGACCAACTCCTCTTGGGAAAGGAGGAGCAAGAGGCCGGTGTCTCTGGGTCGCCTGGGCCAGCGCCCGTGTCCACAACCCCTCCTCTCTTGGCCTGCAAGGGGAACGTTTCTCGCCTGCTTTGGCCGTTTGTACTTCTGGGGACGCGTCGTCTAACAGCGACGTTTGGTGCTAAGCTCTCCCCCCGAGCAACGGTGCTCTGTTCCTCCTTGAATTTAGACCACGGTGTGGCCATGGTGCTCTCGTCCCCTTTCCAAGTCGCTTGGAACGGCTGCCAGCCGACAACAACCGGGTGCAAACACCCTCCCGACCCCGACGGAGATCTGACCTCTGGCTGGCAGCACGGCCCAGGTGCCCATGGTGCTCTGCTCTCTCACGCCCCCTCTGCCCTGCCAGATGGCCCAGAGGCAGTGGTGCTAAGTCCCCTTACTCCTCTCAGCCCTTACTCGGCCTGTTTGAAAAGCGGAACGGCCACCAAAAGAGCCTCTCAGCTCTTCGAGTCTGCCTTGAGCCGGAAAAGGAAGGGATGTTCTTCCAGAGACCTTCAGAAGAGAGGGAGATGGTGGCAGCTCAGGGCGCCCAAACAACACCCGTCTTCGGTCGCGGTTGCTCCGTTGCAAGCCACGCGGCGCCCCCCCTCCGCTCTGCAGCGGTGGTGGGTGGGCGATGGGTTGTGGGAAGCGAGTGGTTGCTTCCCTTTGGTGGTGGGTGCCACCTAACCCAAAGCAGAACATTGACGGAGATTTTCAATCTTCCAGGTCATGCTTGCCCCAAAGGTGGGTGGTGGTGGTTTTTCTTTCCAAAAAGGCAACTGGGCTTTTTTGTTTTTCTTTGAAAACGTTTCGCTTCTCATCCAAGAAGCTTCTTCAGAACTAATGAAGCTTCTTAGATGAGAGGCAAAATGTTTTCAACGGGGAAAAATAAGTCCAGTTGCTTTTTTTTTGGGGGGGGGGGGGAGGGCTTTTGGGGTAACCTTCAGACCTGAGACACCAAGTTGCACCCATGATCTGCTTTCCCCAACTGGGGGCCCTCCGAATGCGTTGGTCTTCTGCTGCCATCCTCTCAGCCAGCTCTAGCCATGCTGGCTGGGAATGTTAGCAGCAAATATTCCAAAGTCGGGGGCGGGGGGTGT